TCAACCCCTGTGCCAACTCCCTAGAACTCCTCTCCTTCTCCCTTTTAGCTCCATCCTTGGCTCTTTCATTTTTGCCTCTTCTTTAACTTTGGGATGAAAGGAGAGGGGAAGTAGATTTTGAGGACCTACATGTAGACAGAGAGGAGGGAGTACAACAGTCCTATTTCTTCTAAGTTCATGGTGATTTCTAGGACAACTAAACCTTTCTAATTTTAAGGTGCCCACCTCTTAGCAAAGTCAGGGAGAAATAGTTTCATATATTATACTGTAAATCCAACCCATACTGGAGATTGGTGAGGTGGAGGTTCTGCCTCTAGAAGTCACTGAAGAATCCAAATATATAGATTCTGGCATCTTATAACATCCTCTGGAAATTGTAGTTCCAAGATCTCTAGAGGAAGGGAAGAGTGTCAAGATGGCACTGACAGAAAGTGATGTGCCTCACTTCTGCATACATTTTATGAATATAAAACACTACAAGGGACTGGGAATCCATATTTTCTCTCTTTTCAGGAAAGAGAAGAGCTGAATGTGAGATCTAGTGACTACTACCACAGCAAGTTTGGGGATATAGGTTATTTTTAGCATTTGTGTCTTTGGAGTCTGTGTGTGTTATTCATACTTTCAACTTTGAAACTGTTTCCCTACTTGAATGATTGCAAGTTGAATCAAATTCAAATATATCCTTCACCCAAATCTGCTATTAGGAAAAACAAACAAATGAAACTTTGAATGTGAAATGAAACTACATTGGGAGCTTTTTTAAGTGTTCCAGTTTCATTTTCTTTTAGAGTTGTTCTTTGTGATAGCGTGTTTATTCAATTCCTGAAGTGTTGTCAAGTAGGTAGCATTTAATCTGTGAAAATTTTCAAGTGGCTCCTTTTTCTCCCTCAAGTGTTGTTGTCATTTTAAGACTGAAATGAACCATTTGATTTTTAAAAATTATTTATGACACATCAAGTAGCACTCAGTGTTTTTGTCACAACGTTGAAACTGTTTCTGAAGGCCCACGTAAAATATGGCAGCAAGGTCGGGAGCCTTTTGTAGTGAACGTTTAGAAACATAACTCACCATTGGAACTGGTTATAATTCCTGGGTGCTGACATGAAGATTGATAATACTTAACTCTGATTTTAGTGATATTTGCCAATTTCATTGCTGTGGTCCTTTTCTTTCAAGTTATTACCTGGAACTGAAGTGATAACAAATGTTTTGTTTTATTCTGCCAGATAAAAGGTTAAAAGTTTGTATGTTACATGCTCTTAAGCACACATGCATGTGTGCACACACACATGTGCATGCACCCACAAATATACAATTGGATCAAAAGGAAATAACTCTTCTATAATGGAAAGATGGTCCTAGTTTTAACATCGGTGATTCATTCCCTTGTGGTTACATCACATATAAAAATTGGGAATTCAACCTTATGGATCTTTGTGCACTGACTGTATCATACAGTTCTAATTTTCTTTCTTTTTTCAGGGAAATGATAGTACTCTTTGCCAAGTATTATTATTGAGTCAACTGCCAAGGTTTGAGAGAGTGTCAAGGGCCTTTAAAATTATTTAGTGTTGAGTGAAGAGTAGAGAAAGGTATTCCCTATTCCCAAACATTTTAACTTTTATGTCTCTACCCAATGTTGGAATATAATCTAGACTTGAAGGCTTTTCTGATTCTTTTTAAAATGATGTACATTGTTGAATGAATTCAGAACTTCAATCTGACTTAAATCTCACTCATTGATACCCAGTTTGGAACATCTCTTTCTAATTTTTAATAGAATGTATTCTTTCTTGCCTAATATTTTCATCTTTAGACTTCTGCGCATCAGAAGGCCTATGTGCCTGTTTGTGGTTTTGCACCATCTGGAAGTTCAAATTTGACTTTAGAAATGATGTCATAGTTGCTTACTGCAAACTGGGCTGATGTTGTTTGAGAATTGGATGCAGTTCAGGTTAAAAAAATAAAATAAAATAAAAAAGGACCCTCAAGTTTTGTATCTTGATTCTAGGAGACTGTGTAAAGCTCTAAAGATAGAGTGAAGGTGATTGAAGGGCATGGTCCAAATTCCTTTGAAGTTAAGTACATGCTTTCCAGCACATGGAAAAATCATCTCCCACACAGAAGACCTCAGCTGGCACAGACTCCCTCCTGCCATGTTGAATTTGGGTGTTGCGCATAGTCTGTTGATCACAACCATCCTTGCTCTCTGTTTTATTCCAGGAGATATGTTCTCACAGCTAGGGTTGCTTTTCATCTCCTTGCCCAGGAAGATGCAGCAGGACCCTGATAGATCACACATGGAAAGAAGGTGCTACAAATATTAAGTGTATTATTCATCATTAAAGAGTGTTTTTTTTTCTAAACTCTCTCCAGCACCACTCACCACCTTCCATATTGTAATTTATTTGCACCACAGTTAAAATGGTGGGCATGTATTTTAGGTCCACATATGGGCCATCCAACTTTGATAACCAGAATGTTGAGCTGAGAGTTCCACAGTCATATTTTTTTTCTCTGAATCTCATTGAGTAGGCCTATTGCAAATATCTATAATTGATTGTAACCACTTCTAACTACTGCTGTAATCTAAAGTGTTCAGCATGTTCTGGCAATTTCCAAGGACCTCACCAAATGCCCATGCTTTATGCATAAGCTAAATACACATTTTGTCATCAGATAGGATGAAAACCCAAAGAGAAATAGTGGTGTTATTCCAGGTTGGTAGATGAAAATAACTTCTCACCCCCCACACCCCGTACAGGCTTGTACCACTAAGCCTGAAGATGAAGATAACTTTTAACAAAGATAAGCCACTTTAGAACTAAGATGCTTAAGCTTTGGTGTACCTGGCATAGGTTTGCTTTCAAAAAAGGGAAGAATCTCAGGACAAGATTATCTCTTCCACTTTGCCAGCCCCTGTATCTGTATGATCGTTATGTGAGAAGAGATGTAGCTATCTGATATTTGAAGAAACTATAGTTCTCAGGCTCTCTGATCACAGAGTGTCCACCCTCTCTCATTGTGTGGTCAGTAGTATTATGCCTTATGGGCTTCAAACACCTTTTGTCACTCCTTCCTCATGAGGCCTTCTAGATTCATCCTCTTTTCTGGGCCAGAACTGGAAAAACTACTCATTTACCTCCATGTCAATTTTGACCTTTAGAAATAAAGCATTGGAACCCCTTGCTTGGAAAGGGTAAACAAAGGAGTTTCTATTCCAGTAATTTTTATCTTTAATATCATCCTTCTTTGCTGGTATAGTCTACCAAAGACTGATTCCTGCCTTCAACATCACAAAATTTTAGGCATCAAGACCCGTCTCTTCTAACCTTTTTGTGTTACAGATGAACAAGCTGTGGCTGAAGGCTAAAAGCTGTGGCTGAAGGCTAAAAGCTGTGGCTGGAGGCTAAATTGAGGAGAGTTGTTCATCCTGATTCTCACAGCTACATAGAAGCAAACTGGGGACCCAAAGCCTTGGGTGTTCTTTTCCCATTGTTCAAGTTGTTGTTTGACTCTGTGTCCTCTTAGTGTTTTTACATATCTATTTATTTTGGCTTATTATAGTATTCTTGCAATCTTTAAAGATTTTTCCTTTCCATCTAAATTTTACTTGACTGTAACATAAAGAAGCAAAATATTCAACAAAAATTGTTATGAGATGCAGCAACCCTCGACTTCCCATCTTCCTATTTCTTCTTCCTCCAAACAATCCCCATTAATTATTTTTGCCTGGTTATTTTGACACCTCAACTTCATGGTTATTTATGTTGCTACCATTATTGATTTTTTTGTATGGAAGGTGAGAATCAAACCTTTCATCACCCCAATACCCCATTGCCCATATAAACCCTGTTATTCCCTTCTTTCTCTCATAAGGGTTATATGATAATTTGGTTGCAGGCTTGTTTTGTTGTTATTATTTTGGTTTCTCTGGGTTCAATCCTTGGTACCCCCCTAAAAAATACAATTAAAAAGCACATGTCTTGGGAGTAGCATATTAGATATGATTATTCAGTTGACAATAGTGTCCTCTGAAGTCTCAATCTGTTATTGACAATAATTAATGAGAATAATCTTCACATAAAGTGTCATAGTTGGTTTTTAAAACTAGAACAATGGGTATTTGTAAACATAGAGACAAATACAATCTTGTAGACTAATATAGTAGAATTTAGAAAGACTATAGGGGATTAACTTTCAAATGGTCTTTTAATGGCCTTCATATTCTTTTTATTGTCTCATTTTTTTCTATCACCCCAGTGATTTTTTTTTCTATAATCTAGAATTTGAGTATATAAACAAAACTTTCTTTGCACATAGGGTTCAGAAGATCTTAAATATAAAAATAAAATTTATGTTTTATCTTTATATTAGTGAAAAACAGGAATTGTAATTTTCTAATTTTTGAGCTCAGGTAGGAATAGGATTTTTTTAAGTATTTGGAAAACAGTTTTTCATATAACTAAAGGATGGGTGTTTAATTTCTAGACCATTTCTTCCTCTGGCAACACTAATTTCCTCTTGGCAATATGTATTTCTCTAATTTAGGAATGTTTCTCTATGTGTCAATCTTGTTCTTCCAGATGCTCATGATGTTCTCTCCATGTATCTGGGGGATGCTGCAAATTGTGAGGAGTGTATTGCCCTCACTGGGCTCTCAGACATGGAGTATTAATGTGCTTTATTTCCCAGCCTAAGTGAATACATTGTTTCCTGAAAACAGGGAAGCAAACTTGGGAGCATACTACTATTTTATAAAGTCTTATTTCATAGAAACCTTATATTTAAAAAAAATTCCATTTAGATATGCACATAATAGGACTTTAAGGTAGATTACTGGCTGTTAAAATATATGGCATCAAGGTGGCTGTGAGCAATGGGTTGATCACCCTGTATTCAAGAAGCTCATGCTACAACCCACCCCTGCAAGGGCATTCCTGATGGTGATCAATACCCTCTTGGTAAAAACAAAACCTTCTTTTTCCTGATTTTAGGTAGATGCACTGAGATTACGACTGGAAGAAAAAGAATCTTTTCTCAATAAAAAAACAAAACAATTGCAGGACCTCACAGAAGAGAAGGGAACACTGGCTGGAGAGATTCGTGACATGAAAGATATGTTAGAAGTGAAGGAAAGAAAAATTAATGTTCTTCAGAAAAAGGTGAGTAGCTTTCATGTTGAGAGTTGGTATCATGCATGTTTTGTCATGTAGAGAGATTTTGAGCAGATGGAAAATAAATTTTCTTTAAAATTTTAGATTAGGAAGTATAAACTTTTTAGTTATTGACATTTTACTTGTGGTTGTATCATATCATTTTTAGCTTGGCCTAATTAATTTTTTACTTTATCACTTAAAAACTGAATAGAGGTTTTTTTTCATTTGTCAGCTTAAACATGGAGGTAATTTTATAAATTTTGGTATAAACATAAAATAGTAGAACCAGGGTGCTGCTAGGTAAGTGATAAAACTTCTGCTTAGCATGTGTGAGGCCATGTATTCCACACTCACCAGTGAATAAAAAAAATAAGTCAAAAAGTGAGCTTATTTTTCATTTTTCCTTCTTGAGAGTTGATCAGTGTAGTTTATGGGTCTTTAATGCATTTTAGATTCATTTTATAGTTACATAATCTTTGGTTGGTTATATCCTGATGTCTTAGTGCATTCCTGCTGCTATAACAAAATAGCTGAGACTAGGCAATTTATAAAAAACAGAAATATATTTTCTCACAGTTCTGAAGAAAAATCCAAGATCAAGGTAGAAGTAGGTTCAGTGTCCAATGAGAGTGTTCTCTTTGCTTCCATCATATTGCCTTGTTGCTGCATCCTCTAAAGGACATATATGCCATTCCCTCGTGTGATGGGATGGTTCCCTCTAGCCCATTTAGAAGGTTGCTAATCCCATTTATGTGGTCTCTGGTCTCATAACTTAAGTACTTTCTGTAGATTCCACCTCTTAATATTTTCACATTGGTGATTAAGTAACATTCAGACCATGGCAATTGCCAAATCCATGTAGATTATTTGGAGAGAAGAGTAATGTTTATACGCTATACTTATTTGAATCAACAGAGAGAATGTATAAGAAGTCCCAACCACAGTAATCCAACAAGAAGATGCTCAGCCTCATTAGGGCCCTTGTTTTCTTTCTTCTTTCAATGGTTCCTTTTCTCCATTATAGGAGCCCTTGATTTTGTGATAGCACTGTGATTTTCTTTGTTTTAAAACATTTTTAGTTGTAGATGGACACAGTACCTTTAATTAATTAATTAATTTTTATGTGGTGCTGAGGATTGGACCCGGAGCCTCCTGTGTGCTAGGCAAGCACTCCGCCACTGAGCTACAACCCGAGACCAGCATTGTGAATTTCTTTTAGATAATTCCCATTTAATGATGTGTACAGTTTAGGGAGAACCATAGAGTGCCTTGCCTTCCTCTAGAAAAGGGGTCAGCAAGAAAAGAAACCAATTTCTGCTCTTTTATGAAAGACAAAAGGGGTTAGAAAGATATAAAGCACTCAGATTAGCATGCAATCATTATGCAAACTGAGTGGAAATCAATGGTGGGCCAAGGATACCACCCTAGTCAGGCATGTTGCTGGACACCATGCTGTAGCTACACTTGCCACCATCCTCTTGGTGTCACTTGCCATCATCATCTCTCACTCAGATCATATTAAAAGTATCCTAGCTGTTTTTCCTTCATTTATCCTTGTATTTCTTATAGTCTATTCTCAACATAGAAACTTACTCTCTGGTCAAAACTCTCCATTCACAACCAGCTACAAAATTTGTGGGGTCCAGTACAAATGAACATTTTGTTGTTGTTTTGTGATGCTGGGATCAAACCCAGGGCCTCACACATGCTAGGCAAGCACTCTGTCACTGTTCTATCCTCTCAGCTCATGACCCAGTACAAATGTGGAGGGTTTTGTTCAAAAATTTAGAATTTCAAGATAGCAATAGCAGAACATAAAACCATGTGTGGGACCCAGGACTGCTGTACAAGTCACAGGTCCATGAAGCTGTACCACTCCCAGGGGCTTCCATTTTCACTCAGAGGTAATAGTGGAAGTCTTTATAAGGGCCCATGATGTCTTATATGATTGAGCTTCTGACTTCCTGTTTTGCTGGTCTCCCCTTTACTCATGTCATGTTGGCCTCCACTGCCTTTGCACTCTTCTGAGGGAGACGCTTTACTGTATTTCCCCATGGGGACACTAACCCTGGACTTGCCCTGCCTTGTATGGTAGCTATAAGCCTAAAGCTCCTGAGTTGGGATGTGCTGTAATTGTGAAAAACCTACCAGATTTTGAAGACTTATTGTGAAAAGTATATTGTGAGACCTCTCATTAATAATCTTTATATTATATGTTTAAATACAAATATTTTGGACATAGTAGGTGAGCTAAAATATAATTTTAAAATTTATATCACTTTTCTTTTTTTTGTTTTTTAATGGTCTACAAGAAAATTTTATATTACCTATGTGGCTCCCATTATGTTTCTATTGGACAGAACTGCTCTAAGCATTCACATGACTCATGCCTTTTCTCCTTTTGGACCTCTGTTCAAATGGTACTTTGTTATAGACCTTTGCCCTTTGTTAAAGACATATAGTAGCATTATCACATTCTACATGTTGTTCCCTTGTGAAATTTTATTTTTCCTGCCAATTTGACTCAAGGACTGAGCCATGCAATGATTACCATGACAGTTGGTACTTATTTGTTTCTGTGGAGAGGTTGGGATGAGATTATCAATGAATTCTTAATATCCAGACCCCTACTTGTCCACATTTCTGCTTTTCCATAAGTGAGTTCTCTGGGCTTTTCAAATAAAGAGAGACATCAGATCTCCTCTCAGTGCATTCCTGTTCTATTATGGTGAACCAGAACCTTTAAATGGTGTAATTATGTACAGAATAATGTGGCTTTTATTTTATAGAATAATTAAAGTTAGATAAAAATCAAATCATTGAGATTTCACCAAGGAGTTAAAAGTTGAGATCCTGCATTTGTTTGGAACTCTCAAGATGTTGGTGATTCGGTGGGTTGTATTATGAGTTCATTTCTGTTGAAATCTTCATGGACAAGGACCTCATTATTGGATTTCCATTTCACAGTACCCATTTGGTTGATAATAGATAACTGAAAGAGACCTGGGCAGAGATAAGTAAAGACCCTTGAATCAAAGGGTTTTTGTTGGGTGGGGTTAATAGAGAAATGTTACATTGGCATACATTAGAGCATGTTCTAATGATTGAGGAGAAGACTTTTCATTTAAAATCTCTAGCAATGAGTGACGACAAGAGCTGAAGACCTGCTGGAGTTCTTATGTTGCATGCCAAGCACTATTTACTTACTCTTAACTACAACCTGATGAGACAGGTGCAATTATAAATCCAAGGAACTGAGAAATATTTAGGCTTATGATAAGCTTGCTCAAGGTCACATAGTCTAGATATAAGAATTAGTTTTATCTTTGAGTAAATAGAATAAATTGGTTAATGCAAATTAAGTGAATGAACCTCATTTTCTTTTGATCTCAATTATTATGTTGATGACACCAGGTATGAGACTGAGTTGAAGAAGAATGTCCCAATTGCTCATTTGCAAAGAGTTGAAACTAAATGTTCTTTCCCTTGAGGAATAACTGACAAAAGATTTTTCAGTAAAATTGTGAGGTGGCACCTTCAGTGCATAAGTGACAAATGATCACTTTTGCTAATATGAATATTTTGAAAAGAAAAATTAAACTTTTTTCCATTCCTAGACTCAAAGGTTTGGGAACCAATTTGGATGCTCTGTAATAAAATTGGTGTCTCTTATAGCTTCTTTTGGCAACATAATTATGATCTTGTTTGTTTGAATCATGTAAAAAATGTTTCATGTATACTTGGAGGGTTTGCTTCCAGTTTTTGAACTAAGTGTTTACTGACAGGAGGGTATTAAACCACTGACAACATGGTAAATGGACAAGATTGCTGTTAGACCCGCAGTGTGAAAGGGAAATTATCTCCCAATAAATGATGCCCATAATTCAGAAGCTGGTTTAAACTGTGGAAATAATAGAGAAGCCAGTGGGCCACTGAAACATTGGGGCTGGAGGCCCTTTGGATCACATTTAGCACAATTGTCTGTTTTAGAGAAGGCCTGGATCTGAACAGTACAATCTTTGGATTACTATTTTGGCATGGAAGAATAATAAACCCATGTCAATGTCAGAGGTGCAACATTACTTCGTGGGCATCCTGCACTGTTTTGATGCCAGTAGAACTGGGTAAGCTCCTTTCCTATCCATATTTAAAGTGGCAGAGCTAGGCTTGCACCTCATATATGTAAGTTTTGCTTTCAGAGCCTTGGGTCTCCAATGTCTTGTGTGTTCTGTAAGTTCTGTAGACACATATGGGTATGAAGATTTAAACATTTTTGTCACTTAAGGAAGGGACTGAAACTGAAGAGAGAACCCCAGGTGGCAGGACAACTCTGATCAATCTTTAGTAAGGAGACAAAAATTATCCAAAATGGGCTTTTGGCCCTAATTTCATATTCTTAACTCCATAATGCAAAATATGTAGTTATTTTAGTAGGGATAAAAATATACATGTATGAAAAATGTTTAGTGAACTGTCCCCTGCGGCTGTGATACCAGTCTGAAGAGCGTAATTTTCATGCTAGAGCCACAGAATTCTGTTCCCACACCTGAATTCAAACTGTAACTGATGAAGTGCTACCTGACTATTGAGTTTTTGTAGGAAATGTCATAAAACCTTGATGACATTGTACATTTGGAAAGTGTATAATGCCTAGCATTTTAGGACATGGTAGTATTTTTTTTGAACCAGATCAAATTCAGACTGTTATGCAGCTCCTAGATTCTTACAGCATAAACTTGCTACCCAGGAATTTAAAAAAGCCATTAAAATTGGACAAAAATTCTATCTCCATTTCCATTCTAGGTCTCAGACCCACGGACAGTGTGAATTTATAGAGTAGAGTTACTTTATTTATTGGGGGTAGGAAAACAGATGTTGATCTCTCTGGAAGCCAAATTCACTGGCTGCCTACTGAACTTGTGGATTGCCCTCTAAGTTGAAAAAGGGAGGGAGGTTGAGTGAAGTTGGCTCCTCCAAGTGGTGTATATGGACTTCCTCGCTTCAGC